CTGATACTTAATATTGTATTGTTTTAGTACGTAGTTCTGACGTCATGGCAAACGTTATTATTACTAACACAGAAAGAGAAAATTAAATGAAAGTGAAACAATGCAAAATGAACCATATTCAAGATCTCAAATGGTGTTGAAAATAGCCTAGTAAATAATATAATTTACTAAAACAACACCGCTTAAAAAAACACGAATTCTTGAAAATCAATCGAGTATTTTTTTAATATGATTTTTTATTGCGGATCTTATCGTGACCAAAATATTTTATCGCTCACTTCGATCAGCAATAGAAGAAACCAAGCTAAAGTGTAAACCGTACTAGCGACAATTCCTAGAAATAACATACAACTTGATAAATTTTTAACAAAAATTTTGGGCACGTGGGCGTCCGTCAGCCGAGCAGAAACATTATCTGGGCTCTCTCTCTGACCTTTTGTGTTAGGAAATATAGTGACCTATTTAGATCAGTTTCCTTGGCTTTAAATGTGACAATCATTATTGTGTACGAAGGATTACGAAGGATTTCTATCAGCTCAAATAATGATGATTTCCAATATTATAAAATTGGAAATATTATATATAGGTATATATTATAACTTTGGTTGAACTACTTACTTTTAATGTTCTTTCTACTTTCAATTTTAGAATTCGGAGATTGAAAATAGATCATACAATTCTCAATTATAAAAAAAAAATAAAAAATAAACCTACCCTTAAACTGTACAGTTAAACTCATTATATTTCAAGAGGCCTTAATTAATTAATTTAAAGTTATAATGTAGGAAAACAAAGTACATCCTCACAAACTCTTTCTACCCTTCCAGTATGTATGTAATGTATTGCTGCGCTGTCGTAATATTACTCTTGCGGAATTGCCAGAGATTCGTTTAGAACTGCTTCGTATCCGAAGGTTTTGCTTATCTGTATTTATTCCTCGAGTTATTGATATTATTCGAATTTCAGTTTTTGATTTATCCACTAGGTCTCATGTGGATTGTTTGAGTTGTGTGAGTGTTGTGAGTCTAATTTGAGTGTTGAAGCTTTGAATGAAATATTGTTAAGAAGTAGCGCTCTAAGACAATAAGTTATGCTAAATACACCGTAAAACAGCCCGAATTATGTTACGACCTTCAAAATGTTTAAGTCTTCCCTTCGTACTCTGTCTTAAGAACAACATTTAAGGTTCTTCAGTTACTGTTTACTATTGAGGGCCCCGAACTCTTACAAAAAATGAAATAAGTTGCTTTTCCTAAAATTTCTTATATAAACAATGTGATAAAGTGTGTTAGGAAAATGGAAACGTTAGTGAATATTGATTCCCGCAGGAAAGCAAGCATTGGGCTCGAGAGCTGTGATCGCAGCATTGTATGTCATCTGCGAATGTACTCTATGGTAACAGGGGCCTAGCTGTACAAGACAACGGTCCCGAGCTGCTTTTGTGACGAAGAGTAGGTACAAAGGTCGAGTCGGGCGTCAGAGGTTGTTATCGGTCAGCAGCAGACGTCGCAGAGGCCGGCAAATCTCAGACGGCTTTGTGCTAACGTTAGTCCTTATACCCATTCAATATTTCAAAAGGTAATAGATGTGCTCTAAAGTCTAAGCTTAGAATGCAACGCAATTAATAATATTCTAATTTCTATAACTCGCTCATACTTCAACAACGAAAGAGTTAAACTTGTACGCTAGTATTTACTTCACCCTGCAACAGCCCAAGTAAGAGTAATTGTATGTGGTTGACAAAACTTTCATTTTGTAAACCACCTACCTACCCACCTTATGGAAAACGATATTGAAGTATTGAACTTTTGAAAGATGAGTTCTCCTTAACAGCTCTGTGAATATGAATAAGGTAATAAGAGTGTCCAGGTAGAGATGTCCCGAGAGCCTCACCGGGAAGGTCGCGTGTTATTGCGCCTCGGGGGCCGGTGCCGCGTCGTAAACCCACAAGTGTGACACTAAACATGGATATTATGTTGCGGTTATGCTTATTGACTTCTCAAAAACATTACATTCAATTTAATATTCAGCTATTTAAATGCTTAGAGACTTTTTCACATATTCGTCTTCTTGTTTAGGAGCAAGATTCTTAAAATGTCAATACATTTTATAGTCACTCAATAGTGCTTGAAACATGAAGGAATTGTTTGATTGTTTTCTCTTACTACTCTTTGTCTTCTTTTCTGAAAAATTAAAAAGCGGTGGGAACGTATTTATGGTAACTTGCTAAGCTGCGCCTTCATCACACCCTAAGGTAAAACGTTTGGATCACTGCCGGATCTTTATGCAACTTGGTGAATCTAATATTTAATTTGGCCTAACAATAAGGATTTTAGAATCATCATAATTCAGCAAAACTTTGTGCATAAAAGGAGTATTTGTTACTATTGATTTTGATTCATAATATATGTACCGTTTGCAGAATCTGTTGATTGTTAGTCACTTTACCTGTCCGAGAAAGTAAACTCTATAATATTTCGGTCTGCCCTTCCGGTCTCCTCGTGGTCCTAATGTTAGAGCCTGATGAAACATATTTTATTTTCAACAGACCTAGTCTTACATCTCATCTCTCTCCGTAATATCATGATCCGTAAAGCGGAGCTCTCGTGGATATGCATCTCTGTTCCGTATAAAGTCTTTGCCTGCACTCCAATCAACAAGTTCCACTTTTAACAATAATAGTTTCGACGTGTTTTGGAGTAATCAATTTCTGCATTTTATTTTATTCATAAATCTCATATATGATGATGATTTTATTCTTATAAAATAGTGAATTATTAAAATGTCTGTTATGGAGCAGGTTTTTTTTCACAATAATTGAAAGCTGTTCTAAAATAAATATATTATATTTTTAAAATAATTTACTCAACAAATACAGAAATAACATAGAAATATTGTCAGATTTAAATAAAGGAACTACTTTACTAAATGTAGGTAACCAAGTCAGGAAAAACACCACGACTAATGAAATCTATAAATATTGTTACAAGAAAAGGGCCGCTCGTCACATCAATAACGTAAATCAATATAGCCCCGTAAATACACATTGTAACGCGCTGGGGCTCGGGATAAATAAAACTTTCACTTACTATAAATTAAACCTCTATTTAACACTTAGTACACTTAAGGAAACTTTACAATTCGCAATTCAGTTATTCCACTTTGCTTCAGGTGATTCGTTCGCCAAACGGCGAAACCGCTTCGAGTAGAACCGATTACTAACTGCCTTCGTGTCATCTCTGCAACGCTTTTATACTTGACACGTTAAGTCTACTATTACCGAGAGAACATTCCCGATAAGACGAATAGTTTCGATATGTGTTTCCGCTATTTAATAATAGATGGCGTTACAGCTCTCGAACGTTCTCGACATTACTAGTTCTTTTGATATTCGTTTCTGCTATTTGATGACAGATGGCATTACTCTTATCGGCGTAACAATATTAACACGATTTAAATTATTATTTAGTTCGAGATATTTCAGCGCTACTGCAAGCGCCATGACCGCGAGTAGATCAAACTCCGTGGCTAAAATGCTAGGAACAGATAAGCTCACATTTTACTAGCTTCTAGAGTAGATCGCCTCCTTCACTTAGTGACTAATTATTCCGAACACCGAGTTGGGTTGGAGTCATGGTTGGAGTTAATATACTTCTTAGAGATACATTGAATGATGCCTCATTATGTAAGCGAAGTCACAGATGCTTACTACCTTGCAAAAGGACGATTCAAATTGACATTGTTCCTAGTATGCAGTAGTTATTTTGCCAAGAGGCATTGTTTATGAAAACTTAGGAGAACAACAAAGTAATTAAAATACAATAGCTAATTCACATTTTGTGCTATGTTTATAAATGTTTTCGTGGTCGTCAGTCAGTATTATTGTTGTGGGCATATATTATGCGCCTCACGAGTAATGGCCACTTCTCCCTGTAACTATGCCGAGGAACAAATGCTGCAGATACTTACCAAACTAAAGGGATCATCGCATAATAAAATCTAATTTATATCAGCTCCGTTTTTATGGTGGTGGAGTGTCTTGTGAGCCCGCACGGGTATGTAACGCCACCCTATTTTGGCCGTGAAGCAGTAATGCTTTTCGGATTGAAAAGCGGGGTAGCCGGTCGTCGTGGCCTAAAGGATAAGACGTCCGGTGCATACGTGTTGAACGATGCACCAGTGTTCGAATCTCAGGCGGGTCCTAATTTTTCAAATGAAGTACGTACTCAACGAATGTTCACGACTGAGACTTCCATGGTGAAGGAATAACATCGTCTAATAAAAATCAAACCCGCAAAATTATAATTTACGTAATTACTGGTGATAGGACCACTTGTGAGTCCGCACGGGTACCATCACCCCGCCTATTTCTGCCGTGAAGCAGTAATGCGTTTCGGCTTGAAGGATGGGGCGGCCGTTGTAACTATACTTGACACCTTAGAACTCATATTTCAAGGTGGGTGGCGCATTTACGTTGTAAATGTCTATGGGCTCCAGTAATTACTTAACACCAGGTGGGCTGTGAGCCCGTCCACCCATCCAAACAATAAAACAAAATATAAATATTGTAAAAAAATCAACTTAGAAATCCAGCTTCAAGATTTGCTGCGGTATTAACGTGGTTGATGTCTATGGGCTCCGGTGACCACTCAATACCAGGTGGAAGGGAACTCCTCCATACATCTCAGCAAAAAAGAGCTCTAACGCGTCATGGGTGAGATACGACCAGACCCTCGTGCAACAATGGCTCGTCATCAGCCCGCACCGGCGCCGCGGCGCACTTCTGCCACATACTAAATTTCGATACCTAATCGGAACACATTTATTTTGCAATACGATGAATATATCATAATTCAATCAAAAATTCGTGTTTTTTGAAATGTTTTAGTGTTACAAGGTTATAGAATATAAGTAAAATGTAAGAAATAATTTCTAGTGGCACTAGCGTTCCAAAGACAACAGCAATAGTGTTAGCAAATATGGTTGTATTTTCTACACAGCATCCTGTTTGCGGACATCTGCGGCTTCACCTCCCTCTCGGACCAGTGCACGGCCGAGGAGCTAGTGCGGCTGCTCAACGAGCTGTTCGCCAGGTTAGTACTGCTCGGTCCTTTGTACCACCTGCCGCCTCTAACTAAACTAAAGCCTGTTAATAATCCTAAACTTTATTCATTGCGAAGTTCTGTTTAATACCTACTACGGCCATATCTTTGTTGAAATGGATTCACTATTACGAATTGCTGCTGTACCATACATTGCTATACGAAATCATACCCCGACTCGGGTATATTTAGTACCTTGAATAAAAATGATTAGGGTACGTTTTATTCAATTAAAGCACTGTCTCTAATATACATATTATATATAAACCGCTTCATAGGCAAATATAGACCAAGACAGAACGCTTCGACAATCGATGTTTTTATTAGTTTATGATGATATGGATTATATGTATATACCTATTTTAGTGTGAACATTTTTTGCTGGTATACCTAACTATGATGATATTATAATATTATTATACTAGGTAGGTATACAATTATGCATCTGACATGATACTGTGCGCCGGCCAGGTTCGACCGGCTGGCGGCGGAGCACCACTGCCTGCGCATCAAGCTGCTCGGCGACTGCTACTACTGCGTGTCCGGGCTGCCCGAGGCGCGCGACGACCACGCCAAGTGCTGCGTCGAGATGGGACTCGACATGATCGACGCCATTGCGTGAGTGCCCCCCCCCCACCCCTATCCCCCGCCGCGCCCTTGGGCCCGCCGCATGGGACACTGAGCGAGCGGCGCGCGTGTGCGTGTGCAGGCTGGTGCGCGAGGTGATGGCGGTGAACGTGAACATGCGCGTCGGCATCCACACCGGCCGCGTGCACTGCGTCGTGCTCGGCCTCCGCAAGTGGCAGTTCGACGTGTGGTCCAACGACGTCACCCTCGCCAACTACATGGAGAGCGGAGGAGTGGCCGGGTCAGTACAACCAACCCAGCCCAATCAACCACCACTGTTTTACTCCTAATATAGACGTTTGGCTAACAAGCCACAAATAATTACTTTAAAACTAACTATTTTAACAATGTCAAAATATTTGCTAAACAAGTCATTTTAGGTATGTACGTCTCGTACAAGAAAACTAGCGGTCACTTGTGGTCGGCGACCACGGCAGAGACGTACACGCGATCATCGCTCAACCACAATAAGACATCTTATAAAACAAACTGCATCTGAAGATATTCTGTATAGTTCATCCTCTATACAGAAGGGTCTCTCTGTATAACCTCAATAAATAATTCACTGCGTTTATTCTGACTTACTCCATGGTGCAATAGTTAAAGCTTCCAACTGTTGCGCCGAAGGTCGTGGGTTCGACGATATCCACATCGAGAAAAACTCATATTCGTTTTGTTAGCTCTTTGTTTGGGTGTTTATTATCTGTATATGTATATATGTATATATGTATTTAAACGCATAAAAACATGGATATCAGTCTCTAGTATCCATAACATGTGTGCGATTTGTTTCCCAACTATGTTTAATTTATTATTTATTTTTGATAGAATATTAATGTCATAGATACAAGGGCTGCACTAAAAGTATCGGGAATGGAATATTTCCACTGTTCCTGTCATATTAAAATATTTTTAATTGAAAACTCCTTGGTTTTAAAAATCGAATATTTATTTATTTAAAAAAAGATTCTCGGTCTTGTCACGAGGTTTTGTCAAACTTGATTAGTCGTTGAGAAAATGGAATTGACTCGAGAAAATTCAAGAGCGATGATTTATTATGACTTTCGAAGTGGTTTAACACAAAAACATTGTGTTGACCGGATGATTTCTGCATTTGGTGATGACGCCCCATCCAAAACCACAATTTATCGCTGGTTTGCTGAGTTTCAACGTGGACGTGTCAAGCTCAGTGATGATCCCCGTCAAGGTCGTCCAAAAACTGCAGTCACCCAAGAAAACGTTGATTCTGTGCGTAAGCTGATTGAGGAAGATCGACATGTGACATACCGCGAAATTCAGGCAACTTTAGACATTGGCATGAGTCAAATACAAAAAATCTTGCATGAACAATTAGGTGTAAAAAAGTTGTTTTCCCGATGGATACCGCATTCGCTCTGTGAAGAGCAAAAAGCGGCTCGCGTTACTTGGTGCGTCAGAACTCTCGAAAGATTCCACGCAGGATCCTCAAATGCTGTATACAACATTGTATCAGGTGACGAATCCTGGATATACGCGTACGAACCCGAAACAAAAAACCAGTCACGAGTTTGGGTGTTCGAAAATGAGTTAAAGCCAACAAAAATTGTTCGTTCACGGAGTGTTGCAAAAAAAATGGTGGCCACGTTTGTCTCCAAAACCGGCCATGTTACGACTATTCCTCTTGAGGGACAAAGAACGGTTAATGCAGAATGGTATGCTAGCATTTGTTTGCCACAGGTCGTTTCTGAACTCCGTAAAGAGAACTGCAACCGCCGCATCATCCTCCATCGCGACAATGCGAGTTCTCACACCGCGCACAGAACAAAAGAGTTTTTAGAGCAAGAAAACGTAGAATTATTAGACCATCCGCCGTACAGCCCCGACCTAAGCCCTAATGATTTCTATACTTTCCCTAAAATAAAGAAAAAATTGCGTGGACAGAGATTTTCATCACCCGAAGAAGCTGTGGACGCCTACATAACGGCCATTTTGGAGACCCCAACTTCCGAATGGAATGGTTGCTTTAATGATTGGTTCCATCGTATGGAAAAATGTGTAAAATTTCGCGGAGAATACTTCGAAAAGCAATAAATACATTTTTAAATAGTAATGTTGTCTCACTTTGTTAATTCCCGAAGTTTTCAGTGCCGCCTATGTACAAGGCAAATATTAGCAGAGTTCACATCTACAACAGAACAAACACCAAAAACAGTCAATCTCGTTTTATCATCTGGATAGTATTTTGGTAGCAATTAGCAGGCACTCCAATAGGTATCGACTGTTTGTTGTGCTCGCGGTGCTCTGTGATCGCTTCTGAATCGAGTCCATTATATTATCATTGACTTTGTCGGGGTTCAAATAACGACCAGACGTTATTCTAGTCAATAATATAATTTTGTGTGTGTGTGTGCGTGTTAGCCGCGTGCACATCACGAAGGAGACGCTCTGTTGCCTCGGCGACGACTACAAGGTGGAGCCGGGACATGGCGGCTATCGGAACGCATACCTCAAGGACCACAACATCGAGACCTACCTCATCGTGCCTGACGACACCAGCCGAGTGGTGAGACTGACTCTCTCTCTCTTTCTTAGTCTCGTCACGTCACCAGTACTACCACCACACATACAAACAACACGCATAGCGTACCCCGAACGTGAAGTCTGACTCACAGGACAGTAATACTAAACTCTATGTACGTACATACATATATTTACAACCTATAACACGTTCCTTCTTTATTTGTTTTTAAATATTGATGTCATGTTTGTTAGGATCTGACTATAACTTGTACATAATAATATACTCTTAATGGTGATGTAGAGAGCGTTAGAAGGTGGTTGTGACGTGTAGTGGTGTGTGCAGGACAAGAAGCCGCAGCACTCGTTCGCTGTGAACGGGAACGTGTCGAAGGAGATGCGCGTCATGGGGCACGGCTCGCAGCACGGCAAGCACTCCTCCAAGTCAGTACCGCCCGCCGCGATACGCCATCTTCACGCATCGCACACTTGCACCATACTCAGCATACGTATAACCATTCCGCTCTAAAAAGTGTCTGTCCTGTGCACTGGAGTATTTTAAGATGGAGCGCTCCGGGCCTATTAGCTTGTTCGGTGATATATTTATTACCGAACACCTTTGTCAGCATAAGGCCTAGGCCACACTACGGTTTTTTTCGGGACCGCTGTAACCGCGAAACCTCTTAAGACGCACACACTACAATTATTAACCGCGAATTCGCCCGCTATTTTCACAGTTTGAAGATGGATAAATTTCAAAAGAGCAGTATGTAGTGTTGCTCTGGTACTAAGAAATAGAAAAAAAGATAAGGAAAATTTAACAAATGTTGGGTCCATCCACTTACTAGCAGTAGATTTGAGAAAGGTTTCTTTCATAAGAAATATCAAAATTTAAGAAAACCCCTAGAGAATTTATTCAATTACTATCGGATGCTAGTAGCCAATTTCATGGAACAAAATTTCGCAAATGTATTTGAAATTTCAAAAAACCGCCCGCGGTCGCGCATAGTGCGTGCACGGATACCTAGTTCTATGGATTATAAATTTTGTTGCGGTTTGTTTCCGCGACAATTTTGTAACATTTCGCGGTTTAAAAATCAGTCGCGGGAAAGAACCGCAAGTGCGGCCGCTTGTATTCGTTTTCGTTTTTCATAAACTCACACGATCAACAACCGCGTCACCCGGGTGCATTCATAACATTAACATTTAATTGATTTACTTTATATTTTAACAATGAACATTTTTAAGCAACACAATCTTTAAATAACAAATTCGCATCGCACCCTACATGACTTTTAAATTTTTAGGCCTTTAATTATAAATTCAAATACGTTTTATTAGGAGCTGATAATTAATGAAAATACTAAAATCTATGAACCTTATAATTAACCAACTTTTGTTAATTAGTGATATTAGTTTTTTATTTTTATTGACTTCAAGTGAAGTTGAAGTCAAAATAAAATTGAGCTCGGGGAGGTGCGGCCGCCCCGAGCCATGGCTCTCTTGGTCCCAGGGTATATCCGCCCACGGTCCTGAAGCCAGGTACAATCAGAACTGTTTGCGCATTATAAATGTTTAAACTTTGAACTGTCCGTCCCACAACAAACTGGTGTGAGGCGAGCGAGCGCGCCCTCTGTGTATAACTTTTACAGGTGTATAACATTTACAGGACTACAGGAGCCGCTTCAAATATTCAGTTACGTGAACATACTTTACGATATTTTGTATCCACCGATTGTGTTCTGTGTCCTTGATTCGTTTGATCAGAACGAGACTTTAGCATTGACATGCACTAAAATATGGTAACGTGTACATCTAAACTGTCATGTTTTCCTGCACAGCTGCTGCTATAGAGCGTCGAAGTAATTAGTTGATTCCATAATGATATATGCGAGTGGTGGGACAGGATGGGCGCGGACGCGGGCGCCGACAACAAGAAGCCCGAGGACGAAGTTAACGAGTACCTGATGAAGGCGATCGACGCGCGCTCCATCGACCGCCTGCGCGCCGAGCACTGCCGCCCCTTCACGCTCACCTTCCGCGACGCCCACCTCGAGAGGAAGGTACGTGGTCGCCTCCGATACCACATTACAACACATAACACACTGAACACAGCGGGAAGCTCTGAAAAGCCTTCTGTAAAACAAATCTAAAGCTAAAGCTAAAAGACAGTTTGGTTACGACGAGCGAGCGTAACGCGGCGCACCCTGTAAAGGGGCTTTATTCAAATCTGACGGATTTAAAAGTTAACAGCAAAGCTCTTGCGGACACATCGCGATAACTACACGCTGGGTCATTCAAATGTTATACATACCTATAGAAAGTTCTTGCCTTGTTATAAGCTAATCTATTCTATCCGACTATTGGGCATTGAACACGATATCTATATTTATTGTTTTAAAAATCTGTTGCAATACAAAACTTTGCTTTTTTTATTACTTTTTTATTATTATATACAGAATATTATAGAACAAAACACTTAAGCTATTTTGAGTTTGCGCGCGAAGCGAAGTGAAATACAGTCCCCTGGTTGAGCGCACCTCGTCAACTACTTACTGTCATATAATGAGATTAGCGTCTGTAGCGGAACACTTCCTCAAAGAGAGTACATTTATCCGACCTTGCACTGGTTCGTTAAATTGTTGCGTTCATTTTGGATCTTTTAATTAAAATAATTTCTAAAGAACTGTTCAATTTTTCAAATCCACGATAAACTGTAAATCTTCTAGGTTCATAATGATCTTAGGCCTTACAGCCCAGGGTGGGTCTCAGCCTGGTCCAGTAAGTCTCTCCAGACTGCCCTGTTTAGGGCTTTCTCCTTCCAGTTCCTGACACCAATAGCTTTGAGGTCGTGCTCTACGCCATCTAACCATCGGAGTTTGCCTGCCACGACTTCTGCGGCCTTCTGGGTTGTCATATAGTAGTTGTCTTGGCATTCTGGTTTCCGCCATTCAAACTATATGTCCTGCCCATCGTAGGTGTCCAATATTTATAGTTTTTATGATATTATGTTCTTTGTAAATATCATACAATGAATATCCGTCTTAGAGTCTTACGCTCGAACACAAGTAGACGGTTCTCATCCTTTTTGCTGAGTACCCATGTCTCTGAGCCATAAATAAGAATGAGTCTCAGTAGGGTTTTATAAATCTTCTAGAATAAATTATGTTAAATTACTGTTCACTACCCAACTCGGGCCCAGTTTGCTGGCTGATCTTTGATTTGACTCTGATCCGAACACTACCAAACTCCACAGGGTAACCCGCTAGGAAATGTGAAAATATCCTAGGGAAATCATCCAAATCAGGTCAATCATATCGGAGTCTACAGAGAATATACGCAAATACACACATTGGCCATTACCCACTATGTATAAAGTCTATAACTTGCATTACAATTTAATGATGAAAAGCAGTTCGAGCACTCAGTGTTGCAACCGAGACAATATCACAGTGACATTATTAAATCAGCGTCACAGATTAAATGTGGAATCGGCATACACGAAACTCCGAGTTCGACTTTTCTTTTAAATAAAAACGCTTGCTTTTAATTAAGTAGCTTTAAGGCGGTTCATACGTATATAATTAAGAACTTAATATCTGAACGAAAGCTGCTTTGGACCTCTGGGCTTTGTAGAGAAATTAATATTAGTAATTAATTGTGTTTCGAGGATTTCAGCACAGATTGTGGACCGAAAACCCTCGCGAACTTACAGGTTCATGAATAAAATAATCTGGATATCTGAACATCACGCATACTCGTACTTTGTCAATGGTTGTTCAGTACATACTCATTTCTAATAGTCGAGATAAATAAAAGTCCGAATTACTATCTGCTCGTAGAAGTGTCTTGTACAAAAGAACATACCAAGTTAAGTAAGTTCAAATTCAAATTCAAATTCAAAATCATTTATTTCAACTTAGATGTCAGTATGGCACACTTGTTGAATGTCAAAATACAAATAACAATGTTAACTCTACCACTAGATCTAAGATATGTAATAGAAGCGAGGTGCAGGCTCAGAGGCCATGTATGTTGTGCGTGTGTGGTGTGTGTGACCGTGTGTGCGCTGTGCAGTACACGGCGGAGCGCGACCGCATGCTGAAGGTGTACTTCTCGTGCTCGCTGGTCGTGTACACCGCCGTGCTCGTCGTGCAGCTGCTCGCCTTCAACATGTGAGTCCCACTGCCAGTACTTACATTACTTAGTACAATCACGATCCATTCAAATATCAAAATGAACCACAGTTATTATGCAAAATGTTATCAGTAGTGGCTTATTGCGGTGCTTGAAGAAGCAAATGTAGCACTGTGTACGAGTAGTAGCAAAATGATAAAACAAAACCCGATAATTATCGCCCGATCAATATCCTTCTGTCAGCAAACTATACGAGCATTTACTTTTCAAACACCTCAGAGACTGTGTGAGTTCCGTTCTAAACGTTCTTGCGTTCTACTTGAAAAGGTCTTCGAACCACCAGTTTTACTTCCATGCCAAAAGGGTGAGGATAACAACTAAGCTAATACCACTACTACTACTACTATACTATTACGAATGAATGATACGGAAGGATCTTGCTGCGGAATCTCGTGGATTGTTGGACTACATTATAAATACAATTGTTATTCTGGGACAAACTAGGGCCGTGTTTACATTCACGGTTCACTATAAATGTCATCTAAATTGATATCATATACACAAAAAATTACTCAGTCTTACGTTGCATGCGCGGTAATCAGTCAACCTTCCTTCATTTGCCACTAGAAGCGCTGTTCCAACTGCATACAAATTTGAGTTAACTTTTACGTGATCGAGAACGTTAGAAAACTCGCACTAAGCATATTGTTAAGTGTCTTATACGACTAGGATCACTATCGAGTAATTTTATATTTTGTTTAGGACTCCGATTGGCATCGCGACCATGATCCTGTGCGGAATTATTGTTGTATCTGTTACGTACTTGATTTTCGCCATTGACTTGAAGGTAATCAATTTAAAATCATAATTTTCAACAACAATTACTTTAAATATAATTTGTTTACTTTATGATGATTTGAAAGACAAGACATAATGAATATTACATGTTGTAATAGTTCGCTGGTGGCAAGTTGAAGAGGATATCGAAACGCGTGCACAACAACCGCACTCTCGCTCAGCTGATGTCGTTCATCGTGGTCGGCGCGGTCATCCTGCAGATACAGGTCGTCATGGTGAGTTGTACTCGTAGTCTCGGAGTGTGCTACTGTCTACTGTCTACTGTGTACTGTGTACTATGTATACAATGTACTACCGACCGCTACACAGGTGCAAGAGGTGCTCGGCGTCACCAACAACACGAACGTCCCGTCGTACGAGAACAGCGGCGGCAACTGTCCCTACGACATGAACGAGGTGAGCGATGCGTGCGTGTGCGTGCGTGTGTGCGTGTGTGCGCTGCGCGTTGTATTCACTTAATATGAGACAGCACACTCTTGTATGGAACAGCATTACTTGCAAGTGACCCTGATGGCGATGTTCCTGTGCGCGGTGCACCAGATACTGATCACGATGGTGAAGGTGCTCCTGCTGCTGGTCGTGTGCGTCACGTACGTGGCGGTCACCACGCAGGAACATCTCTATTACCGGAACCATTTCTACGACTATCAGTAAGTGTCACGCACAGACTCGTTGACAACTCACTCATAACTCACTCCGCTTTCGTAAACTGACGCGGCTCTTGGTACATTGTTTTTGTATCTCGCTTATAGCTCGAAGCTCTGAACATTATTTTTAACTAGTAAAAGCGAGTTAAGAGCTTTTTACAATTCTCCTTGCTCACGACAGTTCACCGGGTCTGTGAGTTTGTCGTTTCGCACGCTTACCCGTCGACTGGCCTAATTCAAACAGATATTTTTGCGCAATCACAAAATGTACAATAATAATGTTTTTACAATGGAAATTTTACAAAGGAAAGTTACCTTTTACAGATTACAGCTTTGTGAAAAACACTATGTAAATGGAATTATTAGTGCAAAAATAGTTGATAACCAAACAAAGTATAGAAAATTAAAAAAAAAGAATATTTTTATTGGATAACATTTGTATTTCATAGGTTTAAAAATTATGTTTACGCGTTCCATCCCTCCATTTAGTATAAAATTCAAATTGTTCTGATCGCACAAATTATAATTTGTAATTTATTAAATATGATGTCCTGATGTCCTGATGCTTATGTTTGTAAACTACAACACACTGACCACGTAGTGTCATCTGGTTACCGGAGCTCATAGATATTATGCGTAGCCATCGCAGTTTTGAAATATGATGGTCAAAGTCTCAATTGTGTAGTTTGAAGACTGTCCCGCCCTTTAAACCGGAACGCGTGGGTCAGGATAGTGGTATTTTTGTAGCTTACAATAGGCCCTAACATTGGTAAAGTAAGTAAGTAAAAACTAGACGACATTAAAATAAAATAAATTTGTGTATTTGATCAAGTAACTTTTATCTTAACCCATAATTGGTCAGTCTCATACTACTGTTATGAAAAGTGCGAGTTGTATTGTAAATGATCGTGAAGGCACCGGTGCGGCCTGGACTGGAATCAGCAGTGGACCAACATCGCCATAGCGCTGGGCGCCACCGTCGCGCTGCTGCTGCACTCGCAACAAACAGAGAGCACCTACAGACTCGACTTCATCTGGAAGCTGCAGGCCAATGGTAAAGATGTGCACGATTCATACTGGCAATCACAATTTATATATTAAAAGGCTTTAGTATAGTTCTTAGTCCAGTATTTTTTTGGGATTTCTACTTCTAGATTATAAATTGGAACGTAAGTTTTTTTTTTTCCCTAAAATGGTTGTATTTACATTTTAATGGGTTTTTAAACGTTTAATTTGAAAAATTGATATTTCAAATGTCTGATATAATGGTGTTTGATTGAGCAGAAGAGAAAGAGGACATGGAGCACCTGCAGGCGTACAACCGCAAGCTGCTGGCCAACATCCTGCCCGAGCACGTCGCGCAGCACTTCCTCTGCAGCGACAAGAACATCGACGTAAGGACCGACCCCCGCCCGCGCTCACCCCGCGCACCGACCTCGCGCGACACACCCCCCACTCACCCGACCCCCGTCCGTTCCGACAGCAATTCGACGCGCAGGAGCTCTACCACGAGCAGTGCGACTCCGTCTGCGTCATGTTCGCCTCCATCCCGAACTTCTCCGAGTTCTACGTGGAGCTGGAGGGGAACAACGAGGGCGTCGAGTGTCTCCGCCTCCTCAACGAGATCATCGCAGACTTCGACGAGATCCTCGCCGAGGAGCCGTTCAAGTACATCGAGAAAATTAAGAGCACCGGAGCTACATACATGGCTGCTTCAGGTCGATATCGGAGTCCGGCTCACGTTCCGAAACAATACTTAATTGTTATGAGTTTGTTGCGCAAAGAGATGAGTGTCGTTCGTTGACTGCAGGCCTCACCAACTCCACTCAGGACCTGGTCGGGTACCGGCACGTGACCGCCATGGCGGACTACGCGCTGCGTCTCCGCGAGCAGCTGCAATACGTCAACGAACATTCGTTCAACTGCTTCCGCATCCGGATAGGTAAGAGTTGTTCACCGAGCGATGCGACGGCCTCCTCCGCGAACTGTACTCTGCGCGTGCGCGTCGAGCCCGGCGGAGCACTCATCGTCCGGCGTGTGCCCGCAGGCATCAACATCGGGCCCGTGGTGGCGGGGGTGATCGGCGCCCGCAAGCCGCAGTACGACATCTGGGGCAACGCTGTGAACGTCGCCTCCAGGATGGACTCCACCGGACTGCTGGATCACATTCAGGTACCATGTCTCGTTCCGCATTCTACTCTAGCTGGGCGACTGGACGCGGCCGCCGTAATGGCCGAGCTATTGATTGTATTGTTGCGTTGAACTGCACCGAGCCGCTCTGCGATTGTGGTACCACAATGATCCGATGCTCCCCGCTGCGTAACCTGTACCTGTACCTGTGTGTGTGCAATGTTGAGCAGTGTTGAGCAGTGTTGAGCAGTGTTGAGGCGAGCGAGGCCGCGGAGCCGTGAGTGTAGCGAGCAGCGGTGTACTTGTGCAGGTGACGCAGGAAGTGTACGACATCCTGTCGGCGCGCGGGTACAAGCTTCGTTGCCGCGGCACAGTCGACGTCAAAGGCAAAGGGAACATGGTCACGTACTTCCTCGAGGGAGTCGGCGACTCCATCCCTGACGACATATACAATGTGAGTACCAAACATCATTTCTCGATGAAAATGAAACTCATCTGGCTCCAATTTACTTACTTCTAAATTAATCATATTTATTATTTTTATTATACGATGTACCTATTTGCAATATTGCTAAACATTAAAAAAAAATCGGAAACTCATACCATTTACATAATATCTACAGAATAATATATGAACACAACTATTCGTGTTTCAGTTCTTAAGTTTATTTGTTTCAATAAAACTAAAAAGGAATGAACAAAAACATGAACCGACCAGTTCAATTGCCGTAATGAAAAATTTCGTCTACCCTTAGTTAGTGACCTCGTCATGCAAAATAATGAAATGTGTTCAAAAGTTTGAGTCGCTGTCAAGTTGAGGTCGGGTAAGGCGCGTGTGAGTGTTCTCTCTGCGCCCTAGTAGCGGGGAACTATTAATTTTAATAATAACTGAAACATTACGACCGCCTTTCTAATAATTGACAAACTGCACCGCGAGTGCCAAACGTGAGCATCTCTGAACAAAAATTACACTACTTACATACTTCTTTCTGCTACTCATTATTACGTACCTACTTGATTACGGAGGGATTCATATTATTTTAAATATAAAACGTTCCAGAATCCCATTCCATCAACATCAAGCGAGGGCGCCGTGCCTCCCCGTCCTGAACACCGCCCTCTGGACACTCTGTCGGAGGCACACACCGATGAGGACGGCGGCCCCTCTCCGAGAGCTTCCATCCCTATGGGTACCGCCACTATACGCTTTACAATCGAGCAGACCTCTATCAATTTAATGAATATTTGTTGTGAAACTATTAATGTTGAAATTAAATGAACTCTGCAGTGAATACTCGTAAAAGATTATGTGGTGACGTTGCAGAGGTTGCAGAGAGCGAGACGGCGTCGTCGTCGGCCCGCGTGGCGTCCCGTTCCCGCGAGAGTGTGAGCAGCGCGGCGAGCGCGGTGCGGGAGCGAGTGCGCCGACGACTGCAGCGCCCTCTCTCTCTCGCGGACGACGACGCCTTCCCCAGCCTCATCTCACTCGTTAACGCTAAGGCTTACTCCGCCGACTTCGACTCGGCCTTCCGCCACGAAGAAACTCTACGCGAGAGGCCCTCGCAGCCCCGCACCAGCAAGGCGACCAGTCTCGCCGACTTCATCTTCAAGAGGAGGCCCAACAAGTCGCAATTGAACGCTGTCCACGTCATCGAGAACCCGATGAATGCCATGGACGACTTCGACTCGAACTGCTCCGCGACCACTACATTCTCTCCCGTCTAAATACTTCACTCCACACGTACATTTTATCTACCATCGCACCCGGGAAACATTTAAATATATATATATATATATATATATATATATATATATATATATATATCAATTTCTCAAGTAAGAGGAATATCCTGGGATAAACGTATTATTTGGACATGATAATTTAACATGTTCATTAGGTTTAGTCTAGATTCTGTAAAGTCTTGTCCGAGACCGACAAGACTCGCTCTGGTGGCGCAGCGCCAGCCTCGCGCCCCGGACTTACCTACGAATTTATTGATATTAGATATTGTCACTTGTGCAACTAGAAACTGTTCACATGCCCTATTAGAGTCTAGAAGTTAGTTAGGTCGAATGTTGCTGCCTCAGTCGAGAGCTCGTGATGTCGGAGTCGGCGCCGCTGCATTTATTATGTTAAGTTTAGTTTCTATGCATTATACATATTATATTTGTTGAAGTCCTCTTGTGGTTAACTTTTCGAAGGTCTTCGATTCCCTAAATTGATAATCGCGGTCGTGGTCGCGAAGACGCGCGCTCGGAGCGCTGGCTACTTGCTCTAAACAATACTATCGGCTCGCGTTAACATTATATTTAATGTACTGTATGTATTACCGGAGTAGTAGTCGGCTATGAAAAGCGGGTCCCATGCGTCGTGCGTCGTGCGTCGTGCGTCGTGCGCGCCCTGCTGCAGTATCGCTGTCCGCACAGACACGTGCTCGAACACGTGCGCGTCGCCGCTTAGCGTCCCGTGCCGCATTCACATCCGCCCCTCGAGTGGCTGAAGTCACGACTAAAGCACAATAAATTCAATATCAATATTTACGTGTTAGAGTCACTGACGTTACGTGAAGTAATAATAGAATTAAACATTTGTATAGAATATAAATGAACATATTATTATTATGTACATAATACTTTAATTTAGATGGTTAATTGTTGATGAGGTGACATAATCTAGTAAGTGACATAAGTATTAAGTACTCTGGATAGTTTTGAAGCCATAACAACAATCTCAAGGTTAGAGTAGGGAGTGACAATGTCTGTTAGTGCACGAGAGCGCTGCACACTTAGGCTAGTACATTAAAAAGGAAGAAGGCGTTTCTCTTGTTAGATTTAATCAATATCTCAGTAGATATTTAGAATATTTTTTTCCAACAGTACGCAAATTGTACTTTCCTCTCACGCTCATCTGCAGGAACTACTGCACCCTGCACCCTGCACCCTAGACCCTAGATCCTACAACACTTTGTGAATCAATTCCGTGCCGTTCTCTTCTTAGTAGGAATTCATACGATATTCAGTAATCGTCTCTCAAGGTGGCAAGTGAGAGAGCCACTTCCCCGTCACAGACACAGTCAGTGCCCACCATTGACGCTAGTTTGTCTACTACGAGTATAAGAGAGCTTCGTGTCTAACGAGCCCCGCTCCGAGCTTGTCCTCGTTCGTTTAACTGAACTCACCTGATGATGATGATCTGCAGTCCCTCGGAGCGCTCACTATACTTTGGGATGCATTATTTAGAAGCTAAATTATTTCTAGCTACTTCCACTTTCTTTCAGTCTACCGCCAGCTAGGATTCAACTGCTTCACTTTCAGAAATGAGCGCTCTAATCTTAGAATAATATTGATAGTATTAAACAATTGTAACCAGTATTAGTATTAACATTGTTGTATTATTGTATGCATTAGATACAAAAAAAGGATAAAATAAATGAAAAAAAAAATCAAGTAGAATAGAACTAGTTAGAAGTGAAGAAGAAGATTAGAATGGAGAACTATGAATGTAGGTTTTTTTTTCCTACCTATTTGCTGGTAACCTAGGGGGCTATTCTAGCTACGTGCGGACTGCTAGGTGAGTTCACGGGCTCAACCTAAGAGAATTTGCTAACACTAGCCCTAGCAAGAGCAGTGCTTCACAGAATCTACCATTGGATCGGAAAAATGACCTACTGAGAAGATTCGGGCGAGAAACTCAGTGGACTAATATAAGTATTGATGGGTGTTGTGTAAAGAGTACCCCTTTTGCTCGCGAACCCGAGAACTTTACAGCACAGACGAGTCGACGGGAACTAACACACTAAGAAAGGAACAGAGAAAGAGAGAGGGGGGGGAGAAAGAGAGGGGGAGAGAGAGAGGGGGAGAGGGGGGGGAGAGAGAAAGAGAGAGGCTAGGTTAGATAACTGTTACTTAACACTGTCATAGGTTAGCTAACGTTTCCGTTTGACTGTGATGTCTATTATTTTTATTAGTTTTGTAATATACCTAATTGTAATATTGATTATTTTGATCGCTCAGAAGCATAGAGTAGATTGTTTGTTAAAAAGGTCGGGATTCTCGTAATATTTGTTTTAACTTAGCATAGGTACATAATTAGGTTATACGTGTCGTTCGTCGTTCGACAAGGCACGGCGACGGACGCACCTGTGGTGGCGCGGACACGTCTAGGACGGCCTGGCTCACCGCTCGGGCGGACCCACCCGCCCTCTTGCTCCTCCACAGTGCTCGTGTCATGTAAACACGTTCTCTTCTATCACTGTATACACATATACATACTATAGTTGTATATTTAACTTCATAATCTTTAATCTTAAATTACCAACAGTCTATAACTTTCAACTTTACATTAGTAAGCTCATTTCAAATATCTACTACTTTCCAGATTGTAAATTGTGTCAAAATTACTCAAAATAAGTAATAAATAAAAGATACACGTAATAAATGATTAAAATGTAATTAGTGACGTTTTAAAATCAACTACCTATGAATTATTATGTTTCTCTGAAACTTTTCAATCTGGATTGAACGCGTCGTTTAGTGTTCGCCATTCGTATCCTAGGAACTACTCCGCAGCCGCATCGGTTGCTACGATACATGCCCGCCCCTGTCTGTCCGGTGTATTATTACAATTTCCTCGAATATATTGTTCTAGTGGATGTGCCCTTGCCGTGTCCCTATTTACAAAATAATGTGACGGATCTTGTACATTAATGTAATACTTTTCAAGTTGTATTCATGACACTTCACACTTGCGTACGATAACAAAACAAAATGATTGTTATCGCTTGTTACTGTATATATAATACTGGTGTCGTATAGCCGCGAGGTATGCGCGAGAGTCTGCCCTAACGAGCTGCCAGCGCGCCGCGTTACCTGTTGGCTGTTGTTGGCGAATGAATCTCCATACAAACTTTGTATATTATCAAACAACAGTCGGTTCTACCTCTTGGTCAGCGTACCTTGTACAATCGTAGTGTTAAAACGTGTAGGTATTCGATGTCGTTTGTAATTGTTATGCTCGGTTAGTCGTACATATTAGTAGTGGGGTCTGCGTAGGTACTTGGCGCAGCTAATCTTTACGAATTGTTATTAAATTGTGCATTACGTATGTTCGTTTATTAAAGTTTATAAAATACAAAATGTAAATCATCCAACCGTAGTTTGTGACCAGCTGCTCGACCCCGAATCGTATCGCCTCATTTACTATGCGTACTCGTACTGCGTAATGTTATCCAAGCACCTTTATAACTATTCCGCTTTGTTTATAAAATAGTTAAAATCTTTATATTTATGTGAGACTGGAGACAAAGACGGATCGATGGGATTCAGGAATAACTCGTTAAATATTTGCCGGAAATTGTACGTCTCTTATTCGCAATATGAATGATTTACAATGAAAGCTTGCGCATCTTGCCGCAGCATGTTGGGTCGTGTCTCAAGGACACTAACCGACCGAATGTCGATTGTCGAGCAACAGCATCCATAGGACCGAAGAAGGCAGCCAGATATCGTTCTGTCTTTGTCTCAGATACTAACAATAAGTAAACGTTGACAACTTAATACTATGATTAACATTAAGAATAATGTAGGTATACTGTAGGGAATTCAATGTTCGCAATAATTATATCATTATATGTTAGTTAATGTAGCGGGCACGATGGATACACACGCAGAACATTCTGTAATGCGGTATCGTATTCTAGTAAGAGAAGAGAAAGGTGATTTGCGTGTGGCGCCATCTGCTTTACTTTCAACGGTACTAATAATAAGAGGCGCCCGGACTCGAGTGATGTTGCTAGTATACACTGAACCGTACGTACGAACGAACGTACGTGCTAAATAATATAACAAATAATTTGTGGCGGGCAGCCATCATACAACACAGGATATTTGAAATTCAAAATTCAAGTCCCGAACAACAACATTCGGTCTGTCGGTCTACCGAGCAATATCATCCGCTCAGCGAAAGATCTTCCGTTCCTCGTATAGGTACCCCAATTAATTCAATAACACCTATAGATATATCAATGCAAAAAAATAAATGTACGTTTTGCATTGTTCTGAACCCGACTATGTCTTTGGTTTCACATCTCTATATCTCAATGATCTTACGGGGAGTCGCCGTCAGCCCAAGACTCAGGTATGGTCCGGATTCCATTATGGATGGTTGGACCATAATATTGTGATCTACTATTCTACTTTTTAAGAAAAGCTTTTAATGGAACTTTATGATTGTACGCACTGTGCTTTATTTAATAATAAACATAAAATTAAAATTAATTTTAAATCTCAATTTAAATAATCATAATAAATATTTCGAGGCTCGGAAAAAGTTACCGGTCCAGAGTTTCACAATATGACTTTACATCAATGTAATATATATAAATAATATGTATAAATATAAAATAATGGTGATAAGAAAAAACAAAAAAAAAACCAATAAAATATAGTCAATTACAGTAATGGAATAATAGTAATGTACAATAACCTACATTTTTAGAATGTGTAAACAAGTATGGCACGCAATTATGGCATTACAATTAATTAATATCTTCAAACCATTTGTGTATTCAAAAGACACGCTTTTAAATATGCTTCAAAAGAATTTAGAGATAGAGCTCCTGGTGCCGGATAGGTGGAGGAATGTTGTTCCAACATTTCGAAGCCAAGTAACGAAAGCAAATAGAAAATACAAAACAGTTCCATGCGTCTAAGTTACCTAAGTCTTCCCCTCAATTGGTCGGTTTGTTTTTACGTATTTTGAATTAAGTCACTATAATCCAACTCGAGTTTTTATTTGGGCATTGA